AAAAAAAAAAAAACTTTAGCAAAGTTCTAACCTGCTGAAGCAACACAACAAGGCAATGCAGGCTACGGAGCCCACACCTCTTGAGCCTAGCTCTTAGCCCCACAATTAAAGTCTCTTTCTTAGCTACAAATGTGGCTTTAATACCTTCACATGGGGCCTCAAACATGCCAAAACTTCAGTTATTATCCAATTTCTTATGGTACCTGGCTTTGTTCCCAGCATCCATGAGGTCAGCAATGTCTGTATAGGAAGTGACTGCCAGTTTGGACAGATCTTCCACATAGGGCCCAAGAAGTGGATGTTCACGCACACGCAAATTTCCCTTATTTTTCGGATTCAGCAAATCTCGTACTCTCTCACAGTAAATTTCCATGTAGCTCACCTAAGAACAAATTATTTAAGTGAATTAAATGAATTGAAACAAAGAAATCATATATAGTAAAAAGATATTTTAAACTTTTATAAAACCAGAGGTGGTGGCATATGTCTATAATCCCAGCACTTGAGAAGGAAGCAGAGGCAGTAGGAATGTGAGTTCAAAGCCTACCTAGACTACATAGGGAGGCCCTATCTCATTTAACAACAACAAAAAAAGACTTTTATAAAAAGCTCTATGCAAGCCAGGCGCCAGTGGCTCACGCCTGTAATCCTAGCTACTCAGGAGGCTGAGACCTGAGGATTGAGATTGAAAACCAGCCCAGGCAAGAAAGTCTGTGAGACTCCTATCTCCAATTAATCACCAGAAAACTGGAAGTGGCACTGTGGCTCAAGTGATAGAGCACTGTTCTAGAGCTGAAGAGCTCAGGGACAATGCCCAGGCCCAGAGTTCAAGCCTCATGACCAAAAAAAAAAAACCAAAAACACCCCCTATACAACCAGATACAGTGGTTCAAGATTATAATCTTTGCTACTTGAGAGGTAAAGCTCCAGCGATCATGATTCAAGGCCAACCCAGGCAAAAGTTTATACCTCCACTGATGGCTAGGCACAGTGGTATGTACCTGTCATACAGCTACGCAGGGAAGCACAAATAAGCGGAAAAGCAGATTGCTGCCCAAGCTGGTTCAAGCATAAAGTAAGACTCTATCTCAAAAAGAAAAAGGGGGTGGGCAGCATAGTGGCTCAAGTGATAGAGTACCTATCAAGCAAGAACCCTGGAGTTCATAGTCAGGCGCCGGTGGCTCACGCCTGTAATCCTAGCTAATCAGGAGGCTGAGATCTGAGGATCGTGGTTCAAAGCCAGCCCAGGCAAGAAAGACCTTGAGACTCCTATCTCCAATAAACCACTAGAAAACTGGAAGTGGTACTGTAGCTCAAGTGGTAGAGCGCTCGCCTTGAGCTGAAGAGCTGAGGGACAGCACCCAGGCCCCAGAGTTCAGGCCCCATGACCGGAACCCAAAAAAAAAAAAAAAAAAAAACTGGCGTTCAAACTCTAGTACTTTCAAAACTTCTGTCTTTAAAGACCAACAACCTTCAGGAAGTATGTCATAATTATGGTCTGCAAGACTGCATAGGTATGCACAGATATCACACGGTATACATAGGTTAAAACTAGTCTTCTGAATTTCTCATGAAGGAAAAAGAAGTAAATAGTTTACCTCTACACATAGTGGCTGCTACTTGCCAATGGCAGAGAAAAAAAAAAATATATATATGTATATTAATACCAACTTATTAATTACCAGCGGGTGTCTGCTTTCTTATTTTGTTTTTATGTAGTGGTAGGGACTAAATTGAGAGTGCTGCAAATGCTTGGCAAGCACTCTACCATTGGGCTACATCCCTAGCCCTAGTATATTTGTTTTAAAAGTATGTTACTACCTGTAATTGAGGTTTAAAGTGAGGTTAGAAATAGACAGCTGGGGCTGGGAAGGTGGCTCAGTGGTAGAGCGCTTGCCTTACATGCATAAAGCCGTGGTTTGATTCCTCAGCACCACATAAGCAGAAAAAATAAAAGCGGGAAGTGGCGCTGTGGCTCAAGTGGTAGAGCACTAGCCTAGGGCTGAAGAGCTGAGGGAAGTGCCTAGGCCCAGAGTTCAGGCCCAGAACCGGACCCAAAAAGAAAAAAGAAAGAAATAGACTTCTGTCAGTATTAAATCCTAGGAACAATATCAACATTCCAGAGCAAGAAAGGCAAAAGAGACCAGTAATTCATCTTTAAGATCGCATAATTACTATGACAGTGTAATCCACTGGAAGGCATGAAGACTGGTTGACAATGATAGCTAACTGAAGAAGACTCAAGACGGCACACTCCAAGAATTTCTGACCTGTCAGAAGAACCTTTCCTATCACAAGGATGAGTGCACCAATCTAAATCTTAACCTAAGGCAATTAAATTTTATCTAATCAAATTCCTTCCCTTTAATTCCATGCTTATCAAACAACCATCAGAGTTCTAACACAAGATTGTGCACAGAAAGGTAATACATTAATCTTGCAAATGTGAATATTCTGGCTTGGAAAATACTTCTTCCTTGTAAGAAAGTAACAAGCCAAATGGTGATTTCACCACACTATCCCTAGTAAGTTTCACTAACAGCCTGACTTTGTTGTTGTTGTTTGTAGGGGTGGGGATAAAAACTTGCTTGCTAAGCAAGTCCTCTACATACCACTGAGTTATATCCCCAACCTAAAGTTGAAGGATGGTTCTACCCCTAATTGATTTATAAAATCAGGCTTCTAAGTATAGAAGGCTCTCAAGTGCAGTAAATTCACCATAGTAGATCACATTATGATGCTTCTGCATCACTCAGTTACTTACAGGTATATAGTGTATGTAAAAGATATATGCTCCACATATATCTGGATATGCAATTTTAAATTCCACAGGCTCATTTATAGAGTACCTGAATTAGAACCTTATCTCTATTCATCCACCCTTGTCTTATAATCTCTGATCTTTTATTGTTAAAAATTAGTATGGAAAAATTGAATCTTGAAAGGTAAGTAATCAATCCATTATGAGAGCAGAACAGGACAACAAACACTGTCAGCTAGTCATCCCAGAAAGCGAAATGCTAATCATCTTTGTCCACTTAAAATTTGTACATATACTGATTTGTGGATATGTCTTGTTGGAAAATTTACCCCTTTTTCTCCAAGTATGAGGCTAAGAGAACTTAAATCACCTAAGTTGATAAATTTATTCTCTATAATATGAATCCATCCAAAGTAACTGACAGTACTTTCACTTCTGAACCAATCACCACAGACCCCACTTAGCAAATTCAATTCACTGCATACCACGACCTTCTAGCCATGGTTCTTAGGCACTTGGCAGACTTCAATAAATAAAACTGACAGATACCTTATGATTCTAGCAAGAGACTGACAATGACCAATAAATATAAATATGGATAATTTATGAAGTATTTTAGAATATGATGAGTACAGCAGGAAAAAAGAATATATTCCAATAAATTTTAAAAACTGTGACCACCAAATGTAAATACATATGCGTATAATTTACAAGATGGCCAACCACACTAATAAAGAAATTCAAACTTGGACAAGAAAAATGATGCCTTATCAAATTGTCAGAGATTAAAAAATGCACATGCTAAATGTTTTCAAGGGTACAATGGGGCTCATCTAGCTCTCTCACAGAATTAAAAACTAGTTATAGCATTTCTTTCTAAAAGGTCATTTGGCAATTTTCATGTATTATTTAACAACCAAGACATTTAGCAAAGGTAATGAGAGAAAAGAAATGCATAGACTTATGAGCAAAAACTTAATTTCAACATTATTCATTATAAGCAAAACTTAAAAATAGGCTAAAAGTACAAAACTGAGGGACTCAGCATCAGCACAGTTGTAACTAGGCGCCTCATAAAATAACAGAAGAGGGGAGTACAGAGACCCCAGGTCCAACCACAACTACACTCACCTCTACGGAGTAAGACATTTCTTCATTGCAGTTGTCGTTAATCTTCTCAAAGAGTTCTTCACACAACTAGAGAAGGATAAAGAGAGAAGGTATGAATGACCCAAATCACAGATTTACTCCATTATCCACAACCTCTCTAAATAGACATGTCATAAACTTCAAGATATGATTAATACTTTCAAGGAAATTTTTTTAAAAACACACCTTTGCACATGCTCTTCACATCTTATCTTTATTTGCCCAACAACAGAACCTTGCTATTGTTTCCTTTGAACAAAAGCCATGTTTGTTCTTTTGTGGGTTTTTAAAAATTCTTTCTGTCTGCCCGCCTCCCGGCCTGCCTGCCTGCCTGCCTTTTTTTGCAGGTCCTGGGTCTTGAACTCAGGGCCCGGGTGTTGTCCCTGAACTTCTTTTTTGATCAAAGCTAGCTCTTAACCACTTGGTCACAGCTCTACTTTGGGCTTTTTTGTAGTTTAGTGGAGATAAGAGGCTCATAGACTTTCCTGCCCAACTTGGCTTCAGATTGCAGCCTCCTGAGTAGTTAGGCTTATAGGTGTGAGCCACTGGCATCATCCAGTGGAAATACTCCTCTTATAAAGAAGCTGCATCATTGGCACATTGATTTTTGTTTGGGGGGGGGTCATTCGTGGGGCCTGAACTCTGGGCCTGGGAACTGTCCCTCAGCTCTTCAGCTCAAGGCTAGTGCTCTACCGCTTAAGCCTCAGAGCCACTTCTGGCTTTTTTCTGCTTATATGGTGCTGAGGAATCGAACCCAGGGCCTCATGCATACAGGCGAGTGCTCTACGACTGAGCCACCTTCCTAGCCTGGCATACTGGTTTCATAAAAATTGGATTCTTTGTGCTATACTCAAGTAACTGTTACTCTATAGTCAGTATTACATTGAATATATTTGCTTATTCTTCCTTCTTCCATTCCTGTGCCCCTGCTTTGCCCACCCCCCAAAAACAAAACAAAACATGTTTCCACTTCCTAGTATTCATTTTGATAAGCTGTATATTACTTGTTCAGAGGAGTTACACCTTTGGATTTTTCCCTATGTATTCCCTCTTTTAGTCAGCTTGTGTGTAAATGCATTGAGCCCTGTACATATTATCATACCTAGCTGGATTTTAATCTAGCTTCCTCATATGACAAAATACATGCACCATTTATCTCTCTGAGCCTGGCTTACCTCACTTAACATGATTTGTTCTGGGTCACAGTGACATTAATTTTTCTAGGTCTGGAAAATTATAAAGCTTAAGTTTCTTATTTAAAATACATAGTATTTTAATAAAAATAATTTAAAAAAACAATAAAAATCCTACTGAGCTTTGGTATTAAAACAACTATACATATTTCCTTTTGCCAGTCCTGGGCTTGAACTCAGGGCCTAGACACTGTCCCTGATCTTCTTTTGCTCAAGGCTAGCACTCTACTACTTGAGCCACAGCACCACTTCTGGCTTTTTCTGTGTATGTGAGGAATCCAACCCAGGGTTTCATGCATGCTGGCAAGCACTCTACCATTAAGCCACATTGCCAGGCCCAGCCATACATTTTAATAATAATCAAACATTAAGGTAACAAACTTTTGGAAAATGAGCTATATGTTTCTGATTTTCTAAATCTAAATATACCTTAAAATTCATCATAAGGGGCTGGGAAGGTGGCTCAGTGGTAGAGCGCTTGCCTTGCATGCCAGAGACCCTGGGTTTGATTCCTCAGCACCACATAAGAAAAAAGCCGGAAGTGACACTGTGGTTCAATTGTAGCGTGCTAGCCTTGAGCTGAAGAGCTGAGGGACAGCGCCCAGGCCCAGAGTTCAGGCCCCACGACCGGACCAAAAAAAAAAAAAA